TTTCTGAGTGTTGCTTGTGCTTGGCCGTATGAGACAGAGGTTCGGTAACGGAATTTCTTCGGTGAAGTTTTTTTTGAGGTAGGAGTACACAATGGAGGATCGCGGAAAATGACAATGTAGTGGAGTAATGCGATAAATACGTCAAACAGTTAAAGTGATAGGTGGATGAACTTAGAGAAGTTGAATGGCTTGATCTGGCAGTCTGGCTCGCCTCTTTTTACTTATACCCTAACTCGTTCACGATAGCTCGTCCCGTGACCACACTAAATAAGACCTTACAAAAACACCTCGAGATGCACGTGCCCTTGTTTTTTTACGCGAAAGATGTTGCCATCGATGTCTTGTTCTACGCTTCCTTGACTATCACAATGAAAGGAGCCATAAACGGACCTGACAGCTGTTTTCCTTGAAAGCACACGCCATGAGGGTGCCAACGGTGTCATTTAGTACTGCTACCACATCAATATCGATATCCTGAATTTGGTGGACTTTTTAGAAATCGTTATCAACGAAGGGAACAACGGAATTCTTTCACAGAGAAATCCCAGAAGTTCAATCCAGCATGGCTATGCACAGAGCACGTCACATAACTCACATCTCTTCTTCTGCAAGCTTCTCGTAACAGCGTTACGACGTCAGCGCCTTCCACATCGCTCGCATTGAACCCCTTCGTCCAGTTTATCAGCTTCGCACTTGAAATCGAATCAGTAAGAAAGACTTGAAATACCTACAAACTGATGAAAAAACTGGCCAACTCATGCAGCGTGAATTGTTATACAAAATTACGTCACGCTCATTAGCTGTTCCGAATTCCTTGTTCACAACTCCGGGGAGCAAGAGAATCTCTAGCCACATACTCCTTTACTTTTTCACTAACTCATGCCAACATCTACCACAGAAAGGAGATCGCAATGCGTCTAAAAACAAGCGTGGCTGTTCTTGGCTACGAGAAACTTCCGACTTTCGGTTGCAAAGTTCTCAGTCTCTCCAGCGATACCGAACTGGTAGGCATGTTGACCAGAGTATTCGTGGATTCGGAATGTCACATCCACTTCGCGTGCAAAAACTGGCTGGTCTTTCTTTGAACGCTGACCCGACATACTACAGCACCTCCAGGTTAACTCAGTTGGGTCTTGGTGGAAATCTCACACATGCGACCGCGCTCGATGGTAGCGCTGACTCGAAAGCGCTTTAATATGCCGGTCAAAGAACAGGAAATGCGGGAATACGAAGGAAGTACGCTGTAACCTAATGGAAGAATGACCTGCACCCTGGTATCCTCTTCTAGTGCACCACAAGCGTAGCATCACTCATAAAATAAGGATAAGTAAGCAGGGAGAAGGCTGCTTGCCGAAAAAAGACTCACCACGTCAGTCCTTCTTGTTTGCAGGGAAATGAGAATGTAAATCCAAGTGGAAGCTTTTCCGAAGTGTTCACACCCTGTTCGACCATGAACTTCGCCATACAGTCGGCGATGTGATCGAAAAGCTGAAATGGGGATGTTCATTAGTAGAACTTATTTCCTGGAGTATAATCCTCTCTTGAAGGAAAAAAGTCGGTAAACCTGGCCTGATTTCAAAATTATGGGATGCGCGCATAAGGCAAAAAATACTGAAACATTCTACTATTTTCTGCTCGCGCAGCAACCTAGTCTTTCCGCAAGACACCTAAATCTCCTGAATCATGTCGGAG